TATCCAGTGTAAACAAGGTGCGTGAAGAAAGGTATGATGCCTCCCGCGTATGGCAGCTCATGACCTTTCAAAATAAGTACCGTTTACGGTAGCTCAGTCGGTAGAGCTTTCGCTTCGTGATCGGAAGATCGTGAGTTCGAATCTGACCTAAGTCGATAAAAAATAGGGGAGCAACTGTTCCTTCACCATGCGCTCGGCACTACTTTTCAATTTATATAACTATAATTAAATATTTCAGGTAGTAATTAGCTTAGAATCATCAAACTTTGTCAGTTGATGCATCTTTGGTCCTTGGAGTATGACAACTGAAAAGTAGGTCACCATGACCTACTTTTGAAATTTTTATGGCTGTATTTAATATTTTTGGGTACTATTTGGCTTAGAATCATCAAACTTTGTCAGTTGATGCATCTTGGGTCCTCGGAGTAAGTTGACTGAAATGTAGGTCACTGTGACCTACTTTTGAAATTTTATGACTATATTTAAATGTATCAGGTACTTATTGGCTTAGAATCATCAAACTTTGTCAGTTAATGCATCTTGGGTCCTTAATGTATGTCATCTGAAAAGTAGGTCACTGTGACATACTTTTGAGTTTTAATAGTTATAATTTTCAAAATATTTTAGGTATTAATTGGCTTAGAATCATCAAACTTAGTTGATGCATCTTGGGTCCTCAGAGAATGAAAAGGGATAAGTAGGTCACCATGATCTACTCTCAGGAACTAATTGGCTTAGAATCATCTTGGGTTCTCGGAGTGTTTCATCTAAAATGTAGGTCATGATGACCTACCTTCGGAATTTAAAGGCTTTATCTAAATACATGTATACAGGATACTTAGAGGCTTCAAATAGAAGTGATAGGTTGTACAGTTTATCAGAAGAGCGATCCAAGGCCCTTGGGCCTCTTGTTTGACTACATGATCTTGAACAAGAGTTTTTACCTTACTTAAGAAACATTTTAATTTTGGCTATAATTCTCCAGAAGAGTCAGGGCTTTCATATTTTTTTCACATGTGCATTATTTTTTTGCCTTTTGGATTGTATTATGAAATTTGACTTCATGACCTTGATCTTGAAGTCTGATGCAGTTTTCAGAAACTTCAGTCTTGGTCAGAACTTTTATTAATATATATATTTTTTGTACAAGAGACAGAAAAGACAGGACACATGACCAAGACAGGTAAAATATGCCATAGATAGTTGTATGTCAACCACTAAGTCTCCAAAAGAATGAGATAAGAATTCTTTGAATTTTCTTACTGTTTCTTAGGTTCACTTGTTCCTTCATGTTATACTGTACTGTATCTACTGCAATAAACTTCAATGGATTGAGATATTTTAAGTGAATTTTGATAACAAATTTACTTGAATATATTTGTAATATGCATGTAAAAATTATTTAAACATGTTGCAAAATTTAAGTATTTGTGTTTTTCCTTGTAAATCATTTGAATAAATGAACCCAAGATGTACAGTCAAACCTCATTATCTCGTCCTCAACAGAACCAAGACTAAACTTCAAGAAATCTGTTGAGTGTTGATTCAAGATAAACAGGAAGGGTAAAAAACATGACAAGAGATTGGGACAATCAACTCAGTTTGACATATCCCTGGAATTGAGATATCGGTATTCGAGATAATGAAGTTCAACTGTATGTAAAATGCTAAGAAAGAGGTTATGTTAAAATGTCCACAAGTAACACTGCCTTATACTGATACTTTGGTTTTGCGACTGCCTTTTTAATCTTTACTGATTTCCCCCTCTGGTAAAACTACAAATCATCCCTGTGGATTCCTTATAAGAGTATTTTCCACTTGCTGATTGTCAAACATTGGAAATCATCAATCAGTAACACATTTGGATTACTATCTAGTAAATATTCTTAAAGCAAATTTTATGACAATGATGTAGCAAAGCACTGATGATGCCATAGTATGTCATTCATCATTTTACTAACATAGATGCTTCAAAGATGCTAGATTAATTTAGAGAGAAGTCTAGGGATTAAAAATCAGAAGTCCAATGGTTGAGATATGAGGGATTATAAGTGTTGTGTGTACAATTTAGAGATGGCTGTTGCAGAGACTATTGTTGGACTATGTGGGCTCATGATCACTTCAGATTCAGAGTTCCTGAAAGGAGGTTGATATTTGGGTCAAAAGTTTCAAAGGTCAAAGGAGAAAAGAATGTTAGAAAAGGTGACAATGTAAACAGAAACATTTAACCTTAAGAGCTAGATTAAACTAAAATTAAATCATTTATTTCATCAATTTACAAGCTAATCGCTAAGAAAGAAGACCCACTCGTTGCTTTGCAACGAGCCTTGCTCTAGTTATTATTAAATTATTCTTTTTTTTCCGTACCGATTTTTGTGCAGAAGATTTCTCGGAGATCGCTGGACAAAAAGTCTTCAAAATCACAAGACTTTTTATTTGATATCAAGATAAAGGGGCTGACCCCTCAAATTAGGGGCTCAGAAGGGCCAAAAGTCTTTCACAAATAACTCTTTAATGATCAATATTTAGTTATAAATTACTGAAGCAAAAATGTTTATCTCAACATTCTGCAACTATATATTATAAAATTTTGATCATATGTAACGTAATAAGGGGCCATAAGGGGCCAGAATGCTAAATCTTTGAAGCTTTATATCTCGAAAAGGGGAAATATTTTGATAAGCAAGGTCACAGGAAAGGTTAATATTAGAAAATTATGACACAGCTGATTTGTATTAGTGAATTAAATTGAATAAAATACCTTGGATGGTTTCTTTAAAACTGAGTTTCAAACAGTGTAAGTAAAGTAAAGGTCATATGGAAGATCAACATAAAAAAAGATCGACACAGTTGATATAAGTTATTACAAATATGCATTAATGCATGTGTTTAGATAAAAATGCCTTCAACAGTTTTGTTAAAACTGATTTATATGCAAAATTAAAAAATATAAGATCGGATTATATGTTTTTATAAGTTGAATATTTTTCACCAATATGTATCTGTATATATATATGTCTATATAAAATACCTTGAATAGTTTCTTTGAAAATGAGATAAATACAAAATAAAATGATGGCAATGTCAAGGTCATATGAATGTTAAGGTCAAACAATTTTAATGCAGTTGATAGGACTCACCAACATGTATCAGCAGATGAAGTTTGATAAAAATACTTTCAATAGTTTCCTTAAAAAATGAGCTAAACAAAATGTGCATTTCATGGACAGAAAGACAGATAGGCAGAATACATGGAATATGGACAAGAGAAACACTTCATGCTTTAAAAATTGGCAATAGTCATAGTAATCAAAATATCATTGCAAAAGCTCCAATAACAATAACACTGCAAACATAAAATCAAATACATTGCATTTCTACGATTGCCAGAAGATCTTATCTGCCTGTCTTAGTAAGTAGTATTCAAAATGCAGAAATACTGGAGTGGACTATCTGTTATCTGTTTATGTCAATCACTGATGCTTTGAAAAACTTCCTCATTTTGAAGTTCACCTAAAACAGCTAACAAATCTCTGTCACTTGAAACTAACTCACATGTGTCCATACAAAGTACATTTGATTGCTTGGAATTTATTGCAAGTCGAGAAAAAAATGAAGAAATCTGACTTGGCTGTAACCATTCACAAGGAGAAAACTTCCTTCTTCCATCTTCCATCATAGTTCGCATTTCCAGAGCTACAGCTGTGGGATTCTCCTTTCTACCACTTTCTTCTCCTTTCTTGAATAACTCGGTCAAGAAATTCTTCACTTTTTGAGAGAATCTGCAGTATCTTTTTTCTTCCTTCAAAGCCCATCCTAGACCTGGCAAATCTACACTGTCTGAAGCCTCTGACTCATGTTCAACTCTGGGGCGGGTAGCTGCCAACACAATGTCACATTTTCTGCCCACAGTTTCTTTGCTTTGTCACCTGAAGATTCTGACAATGTTTTAAACACATGATTTCCAGTGAGAAATGCTCATTCAGCTTCTCAAAAGTCTGATATGACTTTAAACATCCATATCCAGGACAAGAGAATAACGTAGAGTTCATTCCAGAAGTTTCATCATCAACACCATCATCATCATCATTTGATAAGGTAACAGATTGATCATCATGTGATCCTGGTTGATTCTCTGGTGTCTTAAGATGAATTTGGCCATGTTCTTCAGGGTGGTTGAACTCACTTATGATCTTAACTGGTAGTAGATTGCGCTTGACCTAGTTTCTGAAGACTTTCGGTATCTTTGAAGCACCCCTCTCCTATTCTGTACGCTTTCCATGTTCTTAATTCTGCTGTTGTGAATTCTATGTTTGATATGAAGCTTACTCCCTTCCAAGAATGCTTTGTGAGTGTTTGCTTAGTGACATCAACATCAACAACAGCAATGCACGTTCCCTTGACTCCTGCACCACTCTCAATTGCCTCCTTCATCTGATAGCTGTACATATATTATGACCCTCTGAAGAAAAGGTCCTCATCTTTGATCTCATGTGAGCAATTTTTGCAACACAGTGGCTTTTTCCACTCTGTAGTTCACTGTAGTCGAAACGCTTCACAGTAATTCCTGAAAAATTGAGAATACATACAATAGCATTTTCATTTGATGAAAACATATTTTTCACTACAGCATACATATATTCTCAAGGAAGCTTTTTTCAAGAGCATTTTTACTTTTGCTAGCATAATGTTCATACAGACGCAACATAGCTACCTAATAGAAATTCAAACTTTGTTTCAATTGAAAAAAAAATTCAGAAAAACGTTTTTATGCATATATAATGAATACCAAAAAAAAAAAAAAAACAAAACAAAATGTTTATGAGGAGAATGAGCAAATCAATCCCTTAAGAAGGATAATTTATGATAATGTAAAGAATCACAATGTTCTAGACAAAGAAAACCCATTTATTAAAGAGAAAACAAATTCCAAAGCATCAAAAATTTCAGATGCTTACAAGGTATGCATTGTGCATAATTGACAAAGATTACCTGTTCTTTCTGACAATGATGGTATGGAGAGCCATATCTACCCACAATGGTAGCACCCCGCGTTTTCTGATCTAAGGTAAGCTTCTGTACTGTGTGGCAGCTGTTGTTTAAGAGTTACTAGTGTATGTTCTAGTAATGAAAGAACAGCAAAGAAGTCCTGTTTCACGTAACCCATTGTGTGAGTAAAAGTCTTGTGCTACAAAAGAGTACAATTGCTTGAGGCATATGTTCACACACTGTAAAGCAACTTTATTTTATTTCTAATTTTAAATACCAAAACTTTCACATGCCATACACATGGAGTGTGCATAATACAACAGACAAACAAACTGACAAACAATTGATAGATCTATACCCCAAAATAAATTTTATATGTGTACAGTCAAATGTTCTTATATTGAACTCCTTGAGACCTACCCCCGGGGGTCAAGATTTAAACAAACTTTAATCTACACTACCTGAAGATGATTCCATATAAATATATCCAATCATGGCTTTGTTGTTCTTGAGAAGAAGATTTTTAAAGATTTTTCCTGTATTCCTATGTAAAACTTTGATCGTCCATTGTGGCCCCACCCTATCCCCGGGGGTCATGATTTGAACAAATTTAAATCTACATTACCTGAGGATGCTTCCAAATTAGTTTAATCTTTCCTGACCCAGTGGTTCTTAAGAAGATTTTTAATACATGCCACCAAATTTTCACTATTTCTTAATTATCTCCTCTTGAAAGAGGGCATGGCCCTTCTTTTGAACAAACTTGGGTTCCCTTCACCCAAGGATGCTTTGTGGTTGAGCTTTCAGCTCAGGTGAGCTAAAAAGTGTGCATGTAAATTTCACACAATCTGTTGATATGCTTAGAAATCCATTTATCATGTTTATTACAGGTTATGAATCATATAATACACAACAAACTTCAATGATTCAAAACACTATCAATAACTCAACATATGGATTTTATACATACACCATCAGTACATGTAGACTGCTGGTTTTGGATAGAGGTTGCAACATATGTCTCTTCATTTCTGTGGTTATCTTCCATGGGAACTTCAACCTATTCATGATATAATTAATATTGATTGATTTCATTTACTTATTTATTATATTTTATAACAACAAATAAAATCTGAACACTTTTTATCAGATAAAAAAAAGGAATAGAATTGATATCTAAATTTTGGAATCTAAAACTTAAACTCAGCATAGATTACTCTGTGTACTTCTAATCATAAAAATTTCCACTGTACAGTTTATCAGTAAGAAGACTCTAGATATGTAAAAACTGAATTAATGTAATTTTTACTTCACTCATGGAACTTAAAGCTTCACAAACATATCATAAAAAGCATCTTTTACCCCAATGTTATGTTATGTTACTAACATGGGCTTTAAACACCAAGAATATTACTCATGATATAAGTAATTCTACAAAAAAAAAATTATTTTCAAGTAATTTTTACTGGTTCTATTTAGTTATTTTTAAATATAATTTCTAGTAGTGTGGTTACTATCACAACTATGCAACTATGGATGTAGCAACTTATTTCATACAACAAGGAGGAGGTTTGCTTAATCATTAATATGAATGAAAATACACAAGTAGGCACAGATAAATCATTCCTAGATGTGAAAGACCTCTTGAAAAATAAGACTGCATTCATTACCTCTCCTATCATGCCTATTGATGAAGGAAGATTCAAATAATCTCCGTGACATTTCCTGCATATTCCTAAAAATTAAAAAGAGAATTATTGAAATTTACAGAAGTTTTTAAGTGCATGTATCTCAATATACTCAATTTTAAATAAATAATAAATAAATCTATGTCTAGAAGTCATTTTTGTATAAAAGATCTACCATTGCTACTTTTTTTTTTAACATGCAATCAACTTCAATGATTATTTTAATGTTTATATATACTGTTATATACATTTTGAACATGTAGCACATGGGACTACATGTATTAAGTTAGGTCTAAAATGCTTTTGACGTGTAAATATTCTCAAATTGAGCTGATCAAATCAATGACAACCAATTTGTCTACATTCATATCTACATGTATATAGTCATTTAGTTAAAAGAATGTATTTGTAACACTTGTAAACATTAATTCAATACACTTTGTTGTGTATGTTTTAAACATGAAATTTTACAACCCTGATATATTAATCACATTTGATAAATACCTCAACAAACAATAAATAATTTTTCATTTAGCATCCTTAGGAAAAATTCTATGACCACTGCATCATTGAATCAGAAACTAAAGTATGGGAATTCATAGAAAAAAACACTGCATGACACATACCCCCTCCCTCCCCCCCCCCTTGTCTCATGGAAACATCCTTCACATGATATTAAACTGTTATAGCGTGTGTCATTTTTTAAATCAGATTAAATTCCAATTCAAATTTTCTTAGGGAAAATAAATTAACTTACCAGAACCTATAGGCACTAAAGTACCAAACTCGGAAACCATCCGCTTAGACATAAGAGAGTTGAAACTCCGATATGGCTTGGCATTTCCCTGGTGGTCAGGATACTGAAAAGATGTCTTGGGACGCCAATGTACACCAAGAAAGTCTCTGTGATAGGGACATACCGTAAATGCTTCCTCAATAGTGAAGAGTCCCACGCGCTTGCATATTAGGTCTGCTTCACTGAACACATCAGCCCCTCCTTTCACGCCAGATCGAATCCCATTTTTCAACAGATGTGATACGATGCCTCTCTTGCAGTCTTTTAATCTTATCAAATTTATTTCTGATGGATGCAGAGGTGAAAAAGAAAAACAACTTGAAGTATAAACACTGATGGAACATTTTCCAATGGAGGCTGCCATTACTGATGCCCTGCTGCATTATGGGAAATGGGAGATAACTCTTATGGTTAAAATGGGAGGAAGGGGCTTAACTTTGGAAGTTGTATATTTGTTAACATGAAGAAAACACAGAAAATCAACAATTTTATATAAAAGCATATGCCAAGGTGAAAATATTTTTATCATGGAAAACTATATCTTAGAATGTTTTTCTGTATTTCATTGATACAAAAAGGATGAATTTTAGTGATATTATATAGGAATTCAACCAAATCCATCAATGTACTTTGGATGTAAATAACACAAATATACAAAAGAAATGAACTTTTTCTTATTCAAATATTTAAAGAGCTTTAATATGAATGACAACTGAGAAGAAATAAACAGATTCAAAAATTAATGTGTGTTATCCCTGCATGGGACCTGCCTGACTCTTATATTGAGCAGTACTTAAATTCATTTGGTGAAGTATTTTTGTTTGATAACACCTTCAAAATGCTACCATGATTTAAAAATCGGACCATTCATTTACTAGGTAAAAAAAATGGCTGTTATACATTGAATACCTTATTTTTAAATTATTGCTGGTTCACTGATTAACATTAAATTAATTAACATATTTTTATACATGTTTTATCTCGTTAAATTAAAATAAAATTAATACAAATAATGATAACATTAATTTAATATTAAATGAAATAAAAGTGAAAAGGCTATTGGTTATTACATAATGTTCAGTATGAATTTTATGTGAAACTCAAAACATATGTTGAACATATGTTTGAAACAACCATATGTTTAAAATATGTTCAACAAACGTTAAACATATAGTTACCACAAAAATATGTTCAATATATGTTTTGAGTCTGCTATATGTTCAACATATATTTCAAACATACATGTATGTTCAATATATGTTTTAAATATATGTTCAACATACTGTCGAAAATTCATATGTTCAACATATTTTAATTACTCGAAACATATGTTGAACATACGTTGCAATTTTACCTGTGTAGGCACCTGATCTCACCTCTGGAAATCCAGTGGTCCATGTTTTATGCCCTCTTCACATATTTGTATTGTTTATCGATCACTGTTCGTCATCTTCACATTTCGTATTAGAGAATCAAAGGTTTTCTAAATTGATAGTACAACTTTACACTCAATATTTAAAAACTAAAAACTTATGCTAGAAAATTGATTTTTGTCAGTATTTATATGTAGCGTTATATCTCTGATCATTAGGTAACAGGTGTGTCATACAGATTTCAGAATACCATAGTGTGTGAATATGTATGTTTCAAATAAATGTCCTTCTAACTTAAATTTCAAAATCTCGTGAAGACCTATATTTTTCATGTTATCTAATCTTATCAAGCTGGTAACATATTGTAACTGTGTATATATATATATATATATACATATATATATATATATATATATATATATATATATATATATATATATATATATATATATATATATATATATATATATATATATATATATATATATATATATATATATATATATATATATATTTGTAAAAACAACACGCACAGATTTCAACAAAATTTTACAGTTGGACAACCGGACGGAGTAAAATGGTAAGAAAATATTTATGCATTACAAAAATACGATGATCCACTTAAGATGTACAAATTTTGCGTACAGATTTATTGCGATCATTTCATCAGAATTTAGTTTCAAGAAAATGCGTTTATATATTTGACATATCATTTGGCAGATAAAGCATTCTGAGTTCACCTTTGCTTCATTGCTGATATTGCAAGTGGTTGTTGTAAAAGGAGATTGTAGAAATCTGACAAGGAAATTGTTTGATGACCAGATTGAAAGCTTGCAGAAGTCTGTGAGGTTGATTGTAGATGGTCAATGCAGCAGCAATAACAGTAAGTTGTGTTAAAACAATAATTACCTCATTCATTAGACATGCATGGCTTTCCTCGGCACACTGATACCAATTGTTATCCTTCTTTAATTTTATAAATAATGGTATTTCCATACGTACTTCATGAGATACCCTACATTCATATAATAATAAATTTATTCGAGTTGAACTTTGTCAATGAATTCATTTATAACAAAATACATGTATTAGCCTAATAAGAAAATAAATATTTGTGCAACAGTCTTTCTTAACTCGAAGATAAAATAACGATTACTTATTTCTACTACGAGCATTTTTTTGGAAGCTCTATTCATCGATTTTATTAACTTTTGGTGCAGTTTAAGAAACAAAAACCACTTCAAAATATTTGTCAATATCTTTCCAAATAACACCTTCTGAAGTATATTTTGAAGTAAACATCGATCACTAGCTGCTATAATGTAGTTATGTTTTTTTTTAAATCTGATATTTTCTGGGGGCTACAATTCCACAGCATCTCCACAATGGTGCAAATATCTTTTTTAAGTAAGGGCGACTGCAGGCTAAATAATTTTTTTTTACATTCAACTTACTTCTAGTAAGAAGAAATTTTTATTCACTCTCAACAACATAGCCCTTTAAAGGCGAAGACTAGGTAAAATAAATCTGTATGTTTAACAGTCATTCTCCTCGCTAGCCATGACAGTTCTCTTGTGATGTACTGAGACTTTCGCTGGAAAATTTAGAATAACTTGATAAAGCAAAAGTCGGTGTTGATGAATGATTATGTTGTACAATATCACTAAACATTGATAAATGAAACCATTGCAGGTGATATTCTTTTCGTAAATAGCGATATTTATGCTTAGAATAAGGAAATCCTAAATAGATCCCTTCCCTAGATCCCGAATTCTAAAATAAAATCAACATGGCGAATAAACTCCAGTTGTGATAAAATAAACGATACATGGACTGTTCTCTCTATTTTTGGATCGATTTATGTCTTACATATCTACAGTTTTGGAGTTCAGGTAAGAAATGTAAATAAAATAGTCATTTACTGATAATTTGAGCAGAAATCAGTGCGGGAGCGAATCACTCCCGCACTTGCATCATCACGGCGATTCTAAGGATTTGTAACCCCCCCCCCTAAAAAAAGGGGAGAGGGCTGCATTATTGCAGCTAATCGATCAAAAAATGTTTATAGCTTATGTTTTTTTCCATTTAAGATCCTGTCGCATTCCATGCTTATATGGGTTCAACAAAAACTTATGCTAAAGGAGTAGTCTGGGTCTACGATAAGGTTGTAACAAATGTAAGGAATGGCTACAATGCAGCAACTGGAAAATTCACAGCACCCGCAGGAGGAATATACATTTTCTCTTATGAAGCACAGTATAACTTCAACAAAGGTCGCTGCCATCCCTTTTTATTTGTAAATGGAAAATTGAAGAACTTCCATTTGATTTGTAGCCATGATGGTAAGAAACCACTTAAACTAGTAATCTGTGGCAACTCCACAACAATTCATGTTGAAAAAGGCGATGTTGTCTACATAACAGATGAAAGGTCAAGCGTCATCATTCATGGAATATACTCATCTTTCACTGGAGTAAAAATCAGTTAGTTTTAAAGATAAAATTATATTCTGCTAAGAATTCATAATAAAATTAGAATAATTGGTGAATTTTATTCTATTTATTCTTTTAATTGTTATGGTTCATACTTTTGTCAATGTCGTAAAAGTGGCAGATTAATTAAAGAGCTGATTGGGCTCGAATCAATTAATTGCGGGACGTGGTGAACGGTAACTTCGAATGAGACGATATAAATCAAGATCGCAGTATAGTTGTTGGCACAACCTTCTTAAAGGCCAGAAGTGTCAATTACAGCATTCAACCGGCATTTCGTGGCGATCCAACAGGAATAAACTACCGTATATGCAGAATTTTTAGCGAGGATTTAATTTTGGCATTATTAGCGAGGGTGTTGAGATCGCTAAAAACAATTTGTGTTTTATTTGTAATAGCTTCTTTAGTAGGCACTTTAAAATCGTTAAAATTGATTCTCGCTAAAAATTAAATACTATAATTTAAAGATAAATCGCTAAATTTTCGTCTAAACTACTTCCACTTACTATTCTCGAAGGGACGTGAAGCAAAAAATAAAGCAGAACGTTATGTAGAAAAACAATGTACAGTGGCTGCAACGGTATTGTTGACAACTTACACGAACGATCACGTTACACGAACGATTGCGCCGATTAACGCACGATAAAATCTGTTACACGAACGATACTTCACGCACACGATTCTACACGTTACACGATCTTACACGATTGTTAACGCAAACGCACGATTCTTCACGCAAAATAGTTCAAATTCTTTAGGAAAGGATATTTTCAAAAGGAAATGAGGCTTAATACTTATTTTAGATTTTCAATAATTATTGATATTATTTCATCGACTTTGAAAAATGAATAAAAATAGAAATGTATATTTCTGGAACTAAATACATGTAAGACTTACTAATTATTTTAGATTACAAATAATTATTTACGTAATTCTCCGATTTAAGAAAACTGATTTTTTTTTTTCGTTTTATCAGAGGAAGTACATGCAGTTGGACCATGAGTTTTGATTAAATTGGATTTCATAATATGCAATGTTTCCATTTGTGAATCTCTTAAATCAAGAATTATGTTACAATTTATTTGTTTGCAGAAATTATAAAATTAATTAAGAGTAAGCTCCAGAGATAAACACTGATAAACGAAACCCCGACAATCATGTGTGTACATGTACATTCGCCGACTAAATATTTATGTAAGCATTGAGGATTGTTTATTTATATATTTATTTATAAGCATTGAGAATTCTTTATTTATTTATTTGTAAAAATATCTATTTTTGATCTATTGATTTTAAAAATATCTTGATCATAATTAGCAGTAAACATAATTAACATCAGGAAAAATCCTTGAACATCTAAGTACGGTTTATCACAAAAAATAACGCTATTTGACGAGAACACAATATTATATGACTTACTATATTTCTTATTTCCAAGCGATATTTAGTTTGTTCTGCTTTCAATTATGTAAATTGCACTTCATTTATTTTATTTGGATTGAAAAAAAAAACAGACAAGCGAAATGCTTGTATAACAAATAACATTCCGATAAAAACTTACAAAACGAAATTTTCACGTTTCATAACGCACGATCACGCACGATTAAAACCGCAAACGATTGAGTCTGATACATGCACGATCTCGCACGTTACACGGACGATCACGCACGTTACACGAACGATTCTACGCGATTGGTTTTTCAACAATAACGTTGAAGCCACTGTGATTAATTTTAAAATGTCTGTCGATTTTAACCATGCATTATAAAACCATACATGTTAGTTAAAAACATTCCGTGAAAGTCTATATCGGAACCTCTCAATTATACATATTTGACACCAGTTTGGGAACTTGGTAAAATCAAACTATTGTGGGATAAATAAGTGGCAAAAAATGTGTGTGTGAGCCTAATCTAATTGAAATTTATTTAGATCCTTCATGCTCACGTAATTTCGTATGCCATTATTACATTTCTTTATAAGATGACAGTATGTTTAGTATTTTTTCTCAACTAACCTATAAATCCTTGATTTGAAGAAGATTTTTACATAGACTTCACTCACAATTTAGCAAGACTTTACGGGGTAAATTTCCCCCGAAAGGAAAGTACTGATTCACATCTTAAAGATGGCAAAAACCTACAGGGTAAATTTCCTCTCAAAAATGACATTGATTCAGCTTATATACAGTGTTTGAAAGCAAAAGCAACCATCTTGATGATAGAAGACTTTACGGGGTAAATTCCCCCCCCCCCCCTCCCCAAAGAAAATCACGAATACAATATTTATAATATGCAAACATCGTGAAGATGGCAACAATCTACAGGGTAATTTTTCTCTCATTAATGACATTGATACAGTTTATACACAGTATTTCAAAGCAAAACACCCATCTTTTAGATAGCAAGACTTTACGGGTTAGATCTCCCCCAAAGAATATCACTGATACAGTATTCACTACTCTTATAAAAAGTGATCATTACACTTTGAAAATCGCAGAACTCTGCAGGGTAAATTTCCTCTCAGAAATGACATTGATTCAGTTTATATACAGTGTTTGAAAGCAAAAGCAACCATCTTGATGATTACAAGAATTTACGGGGTAAATTTTCCCCCAAAGAAAATTACTAATACAATATTTATGATATGCAAACATCGAGAAGATTGCACAATCTACAAGGTAATTTTTCTCTTTCATAAATAACGATACAGTTTAAACACAGTATTTCAAAGCAAAAACACCCATCTTTTAGATAGCAAGACTTTACGGGGTAAATTTCCCTCAAAGGAATATCACTGAAACAGTATTCACTACTGTTATAAAAAGCGAACATTACACTTTGAAAATCGCAGAACTCTACAGGGTAAATTTTCTCCCAAAAATGACATTGATTCAGTTTACATACAGTGTTTGAAAGCAAAAGGAACCATCTTGATGATACAAGACTTTACGGGGTAAATTTCCCCCCAAAGAAAATCACGAATACAGTATTTATAATATGCAAACATCGTGAAGATGGCAACAATCTACAGGGTAATTTTTCTCTCGTATATGACAATGATACAGTTTATGCACAGTATTTCAAAGCAAAAACACCCATCTTTTAGATAGCAAGACTTTACGGGAAAAATTTCCCTCAAAAGAATATCACTGATAAAGTATTCACTACTCTTATGAAAAGGGAACATTACAATTTGAAAATCACAGAACTCTACAGGGTAAATTTCCTCTCAAAAATGACATTGATTCAGTTTATATACAGTGTTTGAAAGCAAAAGCAACCATCTTGATGATACAAGACCTTACGGGGTAAATTTACCCCCAAAGAAAATTACTATTACAGTATTTATGATTAGCAACCGTCGTGAAGATGGCAACAATCTACAGGGTAATTTTTCTCTCATAAATGACATTGATGCACTTTATACACAGTATTTCAAAGCAAAAACACACATCTTTTAAATAGCAAGACTTTACGGGGTAAATTTCCCCTCAAAGAATATTGATATCACTGATACAGAATTCATGCTTCACAATATCTAGGCGGTAACAAAAATCTACAGGGGAAATTTCCTCTCAAAAAATATTTCTTATACGTAGAAAAAGGGAACATTACACTTTGAAAATCGCAGAACTCTACAGGGTAAATTTCCTCTCAAAGATGATATTGATATAGTTTATATACAGTAATTAAAAGCAAAACACCTATCTTTTAGGTAGCAAGACTTTACGGGGTAAGTTTCCCCCAAAAGTATATATACCACTGATACAGAATTTATGCTTCACAATATCTTGGCGGTATCAAAAATCTACAGGATATATACCTCTAAAAAAAATCACTGATAACGAATATATGTTTTTCAATATCTTGGCGGTAACAAAAATACATGGGGTAAATTTCCTTTCAAAAAAATATTATTGATACAGTTTATATTATACGTAGAAAAAGCAAACATTGCACTTTAAAAGAAGCAATTATCTACCGAGTAAATTTCTATCAAAGATACACCATATATTATATCGAAAGCATGAACAAACATTGCAACTTCATGATAGCAAGACTTTACGGGTTAAATCCCCCCCCCTCCCAAAGAATATCACTGATACAGTTTATATTATTCAAAGAAAAAAACAACAAACATTACGTACATATTTAAAACAATAGAACTTTACAGGGTAAATTTCCTCTCTTAAAATAATTTGATACAGAACTTACTTTTTACAGAAAAAGCATATATTACAATTGATGACAAAAAGACTCTCTGGGGTAAATTTCATCTCAAAGAATATCAATAATAAAGTATATTATTCAAAGCACGAACAATATTAAAACTTGATAATGGCAAGTTTTGATCTATGGGGTTAATCCCCCCCCCCCCCAAGAATATCAATGATAAAGTATACATTTTCACTGGAAATACAAACAAGATCTTGAGGAAGATTCTTTTGGGTAGACAAAAAGAAATATTTAAAAAAGGAAATACAGACTTAAAATCTTGATGCTAGCAACACTCTACGAGATTAATTTACCCTCAAAGAATATCCATATCGCAGTATGTTTTATAAAAAGCAAAGTCAACAAACATTACATCTTGATGATAGAGGGACATCTACAAGAATCCGCTCCCAATCTTAACTAAAAATTTTCGGAGTTAATTTCCTCAGTATCTGACAAACTATGCAATTATATCGAGATTATGTAGTTACAATTTAAAATTCAGAGCTAAGCATTCAAACTAATTTACAATATTTTCATCCCGTTGACATAATTTCAAAACTAAGAAATAAAGTATTAATTTTCTCTCAAAATCTTAGATATTTTTTTTTAATTCGGTACTTTTTATTCAAACCAAACAGAAATCAATGTTACAAAGTAAATATCTACACATTTTGCTACATTTTTTTAAAATTGCATATAATATGTTATTCACAGTTAGAGTTAAGTTTAACGGTTACTTTTCATTTATTTTGCAGATTTGATGGCCCCCTGCATTTTAATCAAACCTATACACACTCTATTACCACCAATTTTCCACTTGATAATTTTCTTCTCAAAATTTTACGTCTCTGATACATGTATCTTATCTTTCAAGCCAAGAATAACTTGAAACGTACATGTACTACACGGACGCTTTGCATTTTACTTTTTTGCTAGTATCACTAAAAACTTTCAAAATGGTGATTTGCTAATCTTAATACTTTTGTTAAAACCTCCAAAATCCGTTCAAACGGTAATTACTTGTAATAGAATAAAATATCAAGAAAAAGAAATACAATTTTACTTCTTCCTGATTTAAAAATGAAACATAGGAAAAATAATTAATGACATAAAATTTTAGAATTATGAATGTATAATTTTTACATTACAAACGGTGTTTCTATCTAAATACCATGCAAGCTGGAAAAACTTAATATTAAGGTTAACATAACATTATATCTTCTAAATATAAAAAAGAGTGAAGCTTCTCGCATCTTTCTTTCTCTGTTAAAGGCATAAAATTTTCTTTTGTCTCCCGTTATTCTTTCTTTATTTAAATAACGTCCTATCTTTGACCGAATTTCCATTTCTATGCTTTTCTCCTGGCTGATGCAATACACAGATTGCAGAGTGCATTTTCCAAAGGAAATCTGGCAACCATATTCTGAATCAATCCAAAGTCCACCTAAGGATGAAATTTCAAGACTCGTAAATCATCTCATCGTATAGTTTTTCAATTAACTTCAATTTTCCAAACCCTTAGGGAATTTTATATGATATCATGACAGGCCTGACTGATTTAATATTGTGTACTAGAGTAGAGCAGCAAGTGCCTGCTCCGAATTTTTGTAAAACAGTCTATCTGTTTATTTGGTATGGAAATTTCATTCAATAATCTAAAGACCCCCCTCCCGACACCAGTCACATATATACACATACATTGAAATGCTTCCTTTGAGATTCATGCTTATTTGTGATATGGGTGAATATTATAAGATTATCGAAAAAGTTAAATTCACTTACTATAGTATTGTATTTGTAATAAGAAAAGTTCAGACAGGACAAATAATTACATGTATTACTGATGCCCTCTAGGTCCATCATGGAAGTTTTATCTAAGGGAAAGTGAGAGAGGTAACTGAGAGCATATAGTTTTACTGCAACCTAAATGTTGATTAAAGTGTTTAACATTTCAGCTTCAGTTATTTCACGTAATTAAAAAAAGCAACCAATTACCGAAATCCTTATGCTGGGCAATGGAATTGTAGAACAGGAACGAATTCAAATGCATATAATGCTTATATATATATATATATATATATATATATATATATATATATATATATATATATATATATATATATATATATATATATATATATATATATATATATATATATTATCAGATCATTACAAGGAGCACAGGGCTACTGTGACAGGTGGCAGGGGATGGTGACTCCTCCATGGCACCTGATCCCACCTCTGATGTTTTAGAGGTCCGTGTTTGCTCTTCTCCTGATTTGTATTTTTGAATAGAATTTTGAGCTTGAATACTGTTCGGTATTTCCATTTTTTATGCAAGACTTGTATTTTACAGGAATGCTAAATAAAAATTTTAATTTACATAATATCTTCTTTTAGGTATTCACTGTATTTGCAGCCGCAGAAGACAATCTGTTACCGATAGTTTAATTTACTCAATATACAGTATAATACGAGTATTTTAAAAAAAAAAAACAACTAGATTTTAAATCTAAAATAGATATATAAATTGTTTACATTAACCTCAGCAAAAGTGAATTGGTAGGAGAGGCAGAGGAGGCATTCATTTTGATCAGAGACATAATTCTGAACTTGAACTTTAACATGGTACATATTTAGAGACAATCATTTTAAAGGTAACATAATTATAGTTAACTAGATTAGAAAATACATAAACTTGGGATGGCAATTTGTAACCGGTTAACCGATTAATCGGTCGGAACGATGGTAATCGGTTGTAAAATCTGTAATCGGTTAGTTGGATATAATAAAATATAGGTAAATTTGAAAGCATTTTCTTTAAATTCATATCTAAAAAAGAAACTTCTGCATACAATTTGATAATTTAGCATTCTCACATATCTAATTAAGCTAATTTGGAGGTAATTATGGCTCTCCAGATTGAGATCGCAGGGTATTTGGTCAGTTTCTGGGGTATTAATTACTCTTTTTGAAAACACCATGTCGTTACACCCGCTTGACCTGTACTTCTTAAATGATATTAATCACCGTCGAGTACTGTGAATTAGCAGCTTTATCTTTCGCCGTTATCCATGAAATTATATAATTAGATAAACAATGTAAATTAAGTGAAAGTTCAGACATCGTTTTTATTATGGTGACAATACAGAATGAACTTGTATGACATCTGCTCTGATAAATTATCAATGTCTGATTTTACAGGCATGCACGTTTCATGTTTTTCTTAAATTTTTTCTTGTCTATTGAAATTGAAATAAAATATATGTACATGTAGTTTCCTGATCAAGATAAAAAGAATGTTTCGAACTTCTAACGTTTTTTAGTATTCTGGAGTATATGAATAGAGCTATTTGGAAAAATGAACAAAATGTGTATTCTGATACGATTAACCAGAACGTGTTGCGATTAACCGATTAGCAATTTTGTATTCGACTGCCATCCAAAACATTAACCATTTCCTTATTCCATAGAAATTTTAAAATTAAGGTTGTCAATTTGATGTGACGAAACTGTTAAATCACATTAAAAATTGTGCTGTTTTGATAGACAAATATAACACAAATTTGAAGATAAGTAATTTCTGCATGATGTAGCAACCAACAGATCTTTTAAAAAGCTCATCTTTCACATTTAAAGGAATAACACCACATTTCAGCTTTGACACTTCATCTGGGAGAAAAAGAAAGGCACAGTATTCAGTGACAGGACTTTCAAAAGATATATATTTAATGCTTTTTCTTGATTTCTATAATAATATTCTATTCCAAGATATTTACCAACCATCTCTCAATTTTTCCTATGATTTTAATTGTTAATTACCGGGGAGGGGGTGGGTTAGGGGTAGTGATAATTGGACCAGCTGATCATGATTGTGAATAACATTTTGTATGATTTTATTTATTTATTTATTTATTTATTTATTTATTTATTTTGAATGACAGGACTGACATGTAGCAAGATATTTGATAATAATTATAGACTATAAATAGTTCCTATATAAAACATAAAAGCGCAAACAGTTAATAATACTACATATTCACTGGATTTGAAGCCGTTTTCACCGGAGGGTCAGTGTGCGTGGTGCGGCATTGTAACGTCATAATCAATACCTCAAACAACGTTGGAAACAACGACCGGAGTCAGTTGTGTATCAGAGCTGGAAAAATGTTTGGCAAGTCTATAGCAGGATTATTATCCCAACATTTCGATGTTTTACACACAGGGAAAGGAAAAAAAAGGAATTGTAGTTGTAATCTGGAGTTTTTTAATTTTTCTGCTACAGAACTTCGTTAATGAAAATGGTATTGTCATGCAGCCTTCAAAGTCTTATTTATTCAAACCCTGACTATATAAGAAAAGAATTAATGACACTTTTGGTGGTGAATATGGTTTGTTATTCGCCTCGTGAACATTGATATTTTTCTGATGAAAAACAAACAATATTCACCACCGAAAGAGTCCATAATTGTAAAATAAGATCTTTAATGTCAGTATTTTGCAGCATTCATTGATTAATGATTAATCAATTATCATGGGTGTGTCCTTAAAACAGCCCCAAGAGCTATAAAAACAGACTTTTGTAGAAAAATAGACTTTTATGCAATACACATCATGTAGATTGTAGAAGACGAGACAACGATATAATATAAGTATATTTTACATTCTTAAGGCACATTTTTTAATTTTCCTTTACAAGTTTTATTTGTTTTTTCTGATGTAAATCTTATACGGTATCAGCTTGATGCACCAGATGCGCATTTCCGCAAATTGTGTCTCTTCAGTGATGCTCATGCCGAAACGTTGGAAATTCGAAATATTTTGAAGAGCTGAAAAAGGGGGTGCATAAGACTTGAGCCAAATACGTCGAAGGATCAGAGCTATGCATGATGGATATAATCCTTAATTTTGAAACAGTTTCTAAATTTTATCACAGCAATGATTTATATATATATCCGCATTCTCAAGCTAGTATCGAAGTACTTAGCTACTGGGCTGTAGAAACCCTCAGGGACTATCAGTCTACCAGCAGAAACCTCGACCCAGGGGTCAAAATGTAAATCTTATACGGTACCAATTTTGATGCACCAGATGCGCATTTCGACAAATTATGTTTCTTCAGTGATGCTCATGCCAAAACGTTTGAAATCCGAAAATTTTATTTAAAAAAAACTTTGAAGAGCTGAAAAAGGGGGTGCAAGAGACTGGAGCCAAATACGTCGAAGGATCAGAGCTATACACGAGGGAGATAATCTTTAATTTTGAAATAAATTTCTAAATTTTACCACAGCAATTAAATATATATTCATATTTTCAAGCTATTACTGAAGCACTTAGCCACTGTTCTAAAAATCTTTTGATGACGTTCATGATTTATTGATGTCGGCAGACAGAATAGAGACCGCTTTATCTTTTTGTTCTTAGCAATATCCGTGGTGCAATATAAATAATCCTTGCTTTGACTCTTCCTTATTTTTCTCTTTTGTTTTTCTGATTGTATATGTGTTTTTTTTTTGTATTTCTCACTGTACTATTATCTGCTAGGATCTTAATGTGATGCTTACCATCAATTTTCAATATGTTATTTTTATTCTCAATTTGGTCTGAATCAATCTCTTCGACTTTACCTGGAAAAAATAACAATATGAATTTCTACAGCAGTTTTTCTGAGCAATAATTACAGAAAAGTATTTAATAGTAATAATTGAAATCTTTTTGTCAAATACAGTGTATAGTAATCAAATTTACGCTTCAGGCCATGAACAATTTTTCTAGTTGCTTCATCCTCTTCAGCCTGCTTTCTCAGTTCTTCAATGAAATGAAGGTCACGGACATGGTCCATTGTCTCATGTCTTAAAAAATCCACCTCTTTTTCATACTGGTTTCCGTTGTTGAGAAAAGAATCAAGCTCCACAACTGCTGATCTGACAGTGGACCAGATTTTGTTGAAATCAACATTGGAGAGGGCGGGACTAGAAGAATGAACACACTGATTTCTGGCAATACGAATCCTCTCAATGCTGGCAGAGAGAGATCTGTCAGTAGGATCTGGATCATTTCCCCAGCCGTTACTGCGTGGTGGTATGCTACAAATGTTTCTAAGCAGTATGTACAATAAAGAAATATCCATATCACTATAGTTTCCGGTATAACTGTTACCTCTGGGTAAAATGAGATTTATTTGAGGTGCTGTCAGACGGGGTAGATTACTTCTTTTTTGAACAATGACGTGTGGGAATATTGACGGTGGTACATGGTGACGTAAAACATCCCGTAGTTCATCAGTACATGGATCCAGGAGAGGTCGATAAGCTCTACAGGCATTTGTCGTTTCCTCTGTAGATGAATAAGAGGAGGTTGCCATAACTTTCAGTCTTTCAGTACTGCTTCTCTGAAATATAATTACAGAGAGAGTTTAAGCATTTAAGAAATGGATTTATCACAAGAGTCCTGTTTTTTTTTAAATTCAAATTTAAGATATTCCAAGTTACGTGTTAATTCATAAAATTACGAAACTAAATGCCCATGGACACATCAACAGAATGGTGAGGCTTTGTATAAATTTCTAAAAAGGAGAACCGTTTTTGAGGCATTCTAGACTGTTTGTGTATTTTTTGTGCAAAACTGTTGACCTCTTTACCAACATTAAACCTTTGATTAATTGTTTTTCTATTGTGCACTATAAGACTTATTTATTATAATCTTTTATTTTTTGCTTCTGTAAACTCTTTAATTATAAGAGAATCGTTTTGATATTTGTGACTTTTTAAGTAATGTATATTTTTCAATATTTGATAATATAAAAGGAAGACAATAAGTATTATAATGTGAGCACAGGGTTAATGTTCAACTCATAAATCAATGAAAATGAATCTATTTCATTTAAATATGCTTGCAAGGAAAGATCTAGTACTAAAATCGGAGAATTGAATTCTTAAAATAAAGTTTACTTGGGAAAAAAATGAAAATGTAAAAGCTGAAGATACTGAACAGCGAACGATGTCATAAAAACTAAAACCAATACCAATCTTTGAACAAGGCATAAACAAGGTGGGGTCGAGTGTCTAAGAGGAGTAAGCATCCCCTGTTGACCGGTCACACCCGCCGTGAGCTTTGTGTATTGATGAAGCAGACGGAATGTTCCGTAGTTACAGGTGTATTCGAGCAAATATTGGGAACCACATTGAAAAATCTTAAGTATTTTAATCTCTCAGACACCAGTCATTTATACGTTCTTGACCTTTCCTTGACGATTTATAAAAACCTGACTATGGGCATCTACATTACTTTTCGCAAGATTTCATATTAAATGTCATAAATATTCTTTATTTTCTACACAATTAAGATATACCCTTAAAGTATGGGAAAAAATTAAGTTTATTTTTTCTCTCAAGATAAAAAAAAAACCCCTCCTGATCAATTATCTACCAAAATCTAAGCCATAGAAATTAAACATCTTTCGAACAATACTTTGGAATCGTTTCACACAAATTATTACCACACATTATGAAAAATGTTACCTTTTCATTGAAAATGGTATCTGATGTAAAAACGACACAGGAAATCAATATGCCTCTTTAAAAAAAATAAGGTAAGTTTGGAACTAAAATTAGCAAACTACATCAGTGAGTAACCTGTTATTGTTTTCAAAACGTATCGACATTCTGCTCTTTGCAGTTTTAATATTTCGCTACTGTTTGAACTCACGATCTCACGATCACGGACTCCTGCTTTGATTTCATTATACTTACACATGTCACGACTGCGTGAGGTTTTTTAAGAAATAAAAAGTTAGAACCCTCAATTGCAATCAATCTAAGGTTCGAAAAAGTGGATTTGGATATCTCGAGTGATGTGGCTCAGAAACAATATAGTATTTTTTTCCTCAGCGTTGAGTTTTGAGAGCTCAGGGCCGCCACAATCATCTAATCATAATTGTCTAATCATCTGTATGTTATGTGCAATGAAGTGTTTTACAAGGGTGATGTCTAGGCCTCTGGTTTTATTTTACAGAAGCGGGGAATTTATTTTATGACATTCTTTCGTTCTTCTTAGTACTCGGCTTTGTAGATGATTTTATACTGCATTTGCGAGCTTGATGTTTGCAAATTGATTATAAATTAGGATGGCAATCCAATACATGCTAATAAGTTAACTACAACACGTTCCAACCAATTAACCAGTTAACCGTATCAAAATACGCGTTTTCTTGATGTATTGTTTTTTCCTTATGTAGCCATATTTATTCTATTTCAGTTTCAACTGCCTACAAAGAATTAAGAAAACCACAAAATATGACTGAAGATTCATTGATAATTTTCCAGGGCAAATGTCACATAAGTTCATTCTGCATTGTCATCAAAACTAAAAATAATTTTAAACTACATAACTTAATTTACAATGTTTGTTTAGTAATTTATTCGACAGAGAACTTCAAATGATAAACGTGCTTAACGGTGATTTAAATTATCACTAAAGAATTACAGGACAGTCTGGGTAACGACATGGTGTTTAAACACTAATTTTCACTTCAAACATTACCACCGGTCCGAGCGAGTAATCGGTTAATCGATTATAAATTGCCACCCCTAATTATTAACAGTTGGTTGAACAAAGAGAAACTTCAAATGAATACATACAAAACACAATATTCATTCTAACTGGCAGTAAAACAGCAAGCAAATGTGCTACACAGGTGATAAACATTTCAAAATATGACATCCACTCTGTTAAATTTACAGAGAATACGCTTGTAGCAAAGTGTCAGGAACTAATAATTTTGAATCCTTAGTAAAGTTATGTGTTAGATCCATTGGCTTCATGAATTATTTTAAAACTACAGGGAATGAAAATATCACCTTGCTATAAACTTAAATTAAAAATAAGCATGGATATCGTAACCGTGTTTTACTTTAGATGGTACTTAGGTACATTTTCTATGAAAGTCTCAATTTCAAAGAATATGTAAAAAAGAAAATAGCGTAAAACAAAGTTGAATTATCTAAATAAAATGAAATCATATATATTTAAACAATAAAGTATAGAAAATATTTCAGAGATTACAGTTTCAGTACCAGTGATCAAGAACTGTGGAAAGCATTATAGCATAGCCGGATTTTATCGGATCACACAATTTGTTTAATTGTTTTTGCATGGTTTATCATAAAATTTGGTGGATGTACATTGGGGTGAAACTAATTTGAATGCTTTGATATTGTTATATAATTTGATCAGCTTATAAAAAGGGATATTAACCTTTCACCGAATATTTAAAAAGGTGCTGCGTATATTCATAAGAATCCAAATTCATATTTCAAGCATCACCTAAGATACTTTCCTACCATGTTTGCAAAGCAGGTGCAACTGGCTTTATAAAAGTACTGGAATATAGCTTAAATGTGTCTAAAATTTCAGTTAGAAAAAATATAACCCTGCAATAAGCATATCCATGTATTCTTTATTTCTATGCATAAACAGTAAAAAAATGTGAGTTATTTTGGAAAGAAATTTAAAAAAAACACACTTTGCTAGGACTTTGCTTCTTTTTCTTAATTTTTATCTTTAAAGGGCTAGGTTCACTATATGCATAAAATGGCCCTGCCCTTATATCAATTAATTGACTATCACCCTCTGTCCCATTTCATATATCAAAATAAAGTAGAGACTTAGTGATTTCATTTCCTATTACAAAATTTCTTTTTGAGAATCAAGGTATTGGAAATCAGGCTTTGAGAAAATGCAAAGTTCTTGAATTTTGCAGAAAACATGCTTATTTGACTACCTTCAGCAAAGAATTAAAATATGAGCACAACCCACGATCCAAAAATTAAAACATATTTTGTGATCTTCAGAAACAGATCTTTCATTATGTAATTGCATATTTTGGATCAAAGGTTGAGCTCTATATGAAATATTGAAAAAATACCTCAACTTTTTGCCATTTTCAAAGGAATTTACAGGATATGGGAAAAATGACGCATTTTATGACGTCATAATGCATTGACTAGAGAAAGAATTACGTCATGTTCAATAGATACACGGTCACCAAGGTTCCAAGTTATAAATACTGCATTTTCAACCAATACTGAGCAGTTTCGATTTTTCAGAATTTCTCAGGGCCAAAAAAGGCCCTAAGTGGCTCTTGCTCTTTGTATCTTAATTGAATGGTTTTATTGCTAATTGTACAACGTTTCCTTGAAAATGTAAAGTAAATTATTTTAAGGTTCACTTATTTTCTTATGACATCAAAATTGGCATAGGACTAAAAAGAGATTTTACCTAAAATGTTTACCTTTTTTTCCAATGTAAGAATTCTATTACTATATATTCTAATAATAATTTATTTTTTGCTAATTCTACCAGGTCTAATCTTTCACACCAGTCATTTCATATCAGGCTTGGGTTTATGATAAATGTAATGGTAATTCATTGCAATGCATTACTTGAACTGGAATTAATGCTAGTAATGTGAAATGCCCAAAAAATTGCATTACATGTAATGGTAATGTAATGCATTACTTTCTAAAATCCAGGGTAATGCTGGCATAGCATTACAAAACATAATTTTGTAAACGCCTATTTTAAAAAAATTAAAAATGGAGATGGAAATTATTGTTAAGTTGAAATATATTCTCTTTGAAATGATAGAAATAAATTTACGAAGATAAACAATTTAAATAAACTCTCTGAGTTTATCTATTTAAATACACTTTTTATTCTTTTGAAAGTACAGTTACCATACACTGAATTATTGAAACTTATTTTAGATAATAATCTAATTTCAAAGAATATTCAAAAGTGTTTTTCAAATCCTTTAAAAATAATCCCAGTATGGAGTTCACTAATTAATGTGCAAACTGAAAATTGCCACCTGTTGAATAGAGTGTCATCAAAACACTGTTGGATTATGTAGCAATGAAAAGAATGTATTGTTTTGAGAAGTACTAGTGCTCCAAAAGCTAGTCCCTTTCTCCTGATTGTGTTTATAACTAATAATTGAGTTGTGCTGACCATTACAAATCCATTGTACATGTTTCAAAAGGAATAGAAGACAGACATTCTACTTTAAGCAGAGCAAAATGTACATACTAGTACTGTCCAAGACTTACAGTTTGTCAATGCATATGTTTTTTTTACGATCCAAACAATCTGTCTTATTAATTTTCATAGTTTGGGGAGGGAAAAAAGTGCCCTAAATGTTGCTTAATGGCATCGCAAGTAAGTTAAGGCTAAGTATAGACCTTTCTATAAAACTGAACTAATTAAAACGCATAAGGGCTGTACTTATTATACAGAAAAGGTTAAAACTTATTTTCTAATGCAAACTTGGTACCCGCGACAAGTCATAGCCAGTACACATTATGACGTCATATTATGACGTCATTGCTCTCT